CGCACAGTCTCCGCACGCAGTCTCCGCGCGCACATTCGCCCCTGGCACCAAGCAGCCAGCAGATTGGCAAAGTCCAAGGCTGCTTTTTTACATCCAGTCCAGCTATGGGCTTATTTTTAGCGTTCCCTTCTGCCAGCAGCCCTGTGGGGCCCCTTCCCCACTCGCGGGTCACGCTGGTCCCAACAGCTGAAGACTCTGTGGGGCGCAGATTTTGCCCCGCGTGCCCGAGCTCGGTTCTCTCTCCAACCCGAATTGCAAACCGCACCTTTAGGGGATGTCTAACCTTTCCGTGAGAAGAAGCAGTGCTTGTCTGAGTTCACGCAGTCATGCTGCTTGCGATCCCTTGTTTCCAGGTTAGTAGCTGGTCTCTGGATGCCGGCAACAACCACCCAAGATGGTGCTGTCTCCGCTGCTTAGCTGGCGCACCATGAGAGGTTTCAGCCGCAGTCTCCAACTGTCCTTTTTTTCCTGGGGGTTCTCGGTCTTTCCTAGCTGCAGACAGTCTCTCAGCTGAAAATCCTCTGCCTATTCGGGCTGTATGTTACCCGTTTCAGCTGCTCACCCTTATCTGCTCCAGGACAAGGCACAGGACACGTCCGTTTATACCGCCGCTATTTTCCCTCCCCTTCCATTTTTTTTTTTTTTTTTGGCATTCTCATTAAGATCCTTGAAGGTTTCACTAAGTTCCTCAGAGGTTTGAAGAAGATTCTTGAGTAACCTTATACCTGTGGTTTTGAACTCTATATCCAGTAGTTTGCTTTCCTCCATTTCTTTCATTTGTGACATGTTTCTTTGTCTCTACATTTTAGCTGCTTCCCTGTGTTGATAGAGTGTCTTTGTGTGGTAGGTATTCTATTGGGCCCAGTGGCTCAGCCTCCCCAATTACCTGAGGTGGACACTCTTTGTGCACCCCTTTGTGGGCTGGGTGCACAGTCTTGTTGTAGTTAAGCCTTGATTGCTGTTGGTATCCCTGGGAGGAAATGACCTCCAGGCCAATTGACTGCGAGGAGCCGCTGTGTCTATAGTGGAAGAACTGCTGTGCTGGAGACACCATTATGGGGCAGGACTTGCTCCAGTGGGGCTTTGGTGCTCACTGAGTCTGCCTCTTGAGTGTGTCACTTATGGATGTGAGGAGTTGAAATCTGGTATCTGACTACTGGGTACACTGACTCCTGGATCTCTAAGGAGGTGCAAAGTCAGCCACTGCATGAGTCCACCCAGCAGGAGCTACAGTGAGACCTGCAGATTTCTCCTCTTTGTTTGGAGTTTGGAAGTTTTGGAGCTCTCTAACCTAGCTGCAGTTTGTTAGGTTAGGCAGTGAAAGGACATGCGATTCATTTGCACCACTGCGCACAGCTTGGGTGGGGTTGTAAATTGGGTTGGGCGGGATCTCAGAGAATCACCAGGGTGGAGCAAACAGTGATGACTGCCCATCAGCCCTCTCCACATCTCCATTTCTCCTTGTCTCGGCATCCCCAAGTCCCCAAGTCTGGCGCCCCCACAGTAACAATGATCCCTGCGAGCAGCTCTGCGAGAAAGCCACCCTCACTTTTCAACGTGATGCAAGACAGTCCAGTTTCTCCCCGTAGGAGTCTGGGTCCCGAGCCTTGCTGGAAACAAGTTTAGTGTAGTCGGGAGCTTGTATCTCCCTTCCGATTGAAAAAAACCGTGCACCCAGTTGCAGCCCATTTTGTGTGCCTCCATACCTCTGCTCTTGGCACCTCCACAGCTCCTACCCAGTCTCAATGTGCTTTTTTCTTTCCTTCTAGTTGTAGAACTTCCACTTAGCCAGCTTTCCCATGATTCTGGATGATAGCCGTTTTGTCTTTTAGTTGTTTTAATGTGGTTTTGGGGGGTGGCACGTACAGGTATATACCTTATGCCGCCATCTTGGTTCTCTGCCTAAGCAGCAATTTCTTATATATGAGATCTAAAACACAGTCAACCAAAGAAAAATAGATAAATTGAATTTCATAAAAATTAAAAACTTGTGTGTGTCAAAGAATACTATTAAAGAGAAAAGGCAGTCTACAGAATGAAAAAATATTTATAAATCATTTATCTGGCAAGAGATTTTTAGCCTAAATATGTAAACAATACTTACAATGCAACAACAAAAAGATTAAGAAATTCATTTTTAAAGTGGTTTAAGGAAGGATTTGAATAGACATTTTTCCAAAGAAGATATACAGATGTCCAGTAAGTACATGAAATGGTGCTCATCATCATTAGTCATCAGGAAAATGCAAATCAAAAGCACAATAGGAGCCTGGCTGGTGTGCCTCAATGTTTGAGCATCAACCCATGCACCAAAAGGTCACCTATTCAATTCCCAGTCAGGGTACATGACCAGGTTGCAGGCTCAATCCCCAATAGGGGGCATGCAGGAGGCAACCAATCAATGTTCCTCTCTCATCAATGTTTCTCTCTCTATATCTATCTTCCTCTCTCTCTAAAATCAATAAAAATAGATTTTTAAAGAAAACATAATAGATACCACTTCACACTCAGTAAAATTACTAAAATAAAAGATAATAAGTATTGGTGAGGATGTGGACAAATTAGAGCCCTCATACACTTCTAATGGGAGTGTGAAGCCCTTTAGAAAATAGCTTGACAGTTCCTCAAAAAGTTGAACATGGAGTTACCATTTGCCAACTCTAATATATATATATATATATATATATATATATATATATATATATATATATATATATGTGTGTGTGTGTGTGCGTGTGTGTGTGTGTATACACACACACACGCACGCACGCACACACACACAGTGGGGCCTTGACTTATGAGTTTAATTCATTCTGAGACTGAGCTCGTTAAGGAGCTCATTAAGGAGCTTGTTAACTCAAATTACTCTATCAACTCAATGCAAAAAAATAGGCCGAGAGACAGCTGGTATCTCAAAAAAACTCCTTAGTTGGGACACTCGTAAGTCAAGGCCCCACTGTGTATGTATGTATATATCCTATCTAATAATAGACAACATAGTAATTGACCATACCTCCGCTACACTTCCCATTGGCTAATCAGCAAGATATGCAAATTAACTGGCAACAGAGATGGCAGCTGGCAGCCACGCAGCTGAAGCGAGCAGGAGGCTTGCTCGCTCCAATGATGGAGGAAGCCAAGGTTCCCCGCCTGCCGTGGCCCAGCTCTGAGCTCCTGAAGCAATAACGTTTCAATTATAGAAGCTAAACAAACCCCAGATACCTGCTTTCAGCCAGCCATGGCCTCATAGCTGGAGCCAGACCTCAGAGCTGTAGCCAGCTCTCAGCTCAAATGACAGCTACAGAAGGTAAATAAATCCCAGAATAAAAAAAAAAGTGAAAAAGCAGTGGCTGGGAGCTTCAGTTGCCCACCAGCCTGAAAATGGCCCTCAGCCCCTCACCCAGGCTGACCAGGCACCCAAGCGGGACCCCCACCATGATCCGGGACACCCTTCAGGGCAAACTAGCTGGCCCCCACCCGTGCACCAGGCCTCTATCCTATATAGTAAAAGGGTAATATGCAAACTGACCCTAACAGCAGAAAGACTGGGAATGACTGGTCACTATGACACACACTGACCACCAGGGGGCAGACACTCAATGCAGGAGCTGCCCTCTGGTGGTCAGTGCGCTCTCACAGGGGGGAGCTCTGCTCAGCGACAAGCCAGGCTGATGGCTGCCAGGACAGCAGTGGTGGTGGGAGCCTTTCCTGCCTCCTCAGCAGCGTTAAGGATGTCTGACTGCAGCTTAGGTCTGCTCCGCGCTGGCAAATGGACATCCCCTGAGGGCTGCCGGGCTGCCAGACGGATATCTGATTGCCATCTTAGGCCCAATCCCCTGGGGAGCAGGCCTAAGCCAGCAAGTGGTCACCCCTGAGGGTTCCCAGACTGTGAGAGGGCACAGGCCGAGCTGAGGGACCCCCTACCCCTGAGTGCACAAATTTTTGTGCACCAATATATATATATATATATATATATATATATATATATATATATATATATCTGTATTTGTACACCAATGTGCACTGCAGTGTTACTTATAATAATAGCCAGAAAGTAGAAACAATCTAAATGTCCATCAAATGATTACATGATATATAAAATGTGATATATCCATGCAGTGAAATATTAGTTGCCCATAAAAAGTAAAACAAAAAGAATTTTTAAAAAAGGAATGATCTACAAAGGGGTTTGAAGGAAACTTTTGGGGTCCTGGAAATGTTCTGTATCTTGCCTGACTGCGTAAGTTTGTGAAAATTCATTGACTGTACACCAAAAAGGGTGACTTTTACTATATGTAAATTATTTCTCAATAAACATAAAAGAGCATTACAGTAAATTCAAAATTAATGGAATATAAAAAAAGAGTAAGGTAAAAAGAATGCTACAACATAGGTACTAAGTGAAAGAAACCAGACACAAAGGCTGCATATGTGATTTCATTTATATGAAATATCTACATTAGGCAAGTCTGTAGAGACAGTTGTTTCCAGGAACTGAGGAGGGGGCCAGGGGATGGAAAAGACTGTTAATAGGGATGGGTTGTGAAGCCTTTCTGGAATTAGATAGCAGTCATTAAAAGTACTCCTTTAAAGTAGACCTTATTATCTTTGTGAGGTTTAACAGAAATTTACTGTACTAATTATGTGCTAGTCTTGTGGTAACCCACTACAGCCTAATGAAGTAGATATATTATTTCTTCAAAGGAGGAACAAACCTAATGCATAGAGAGTTTAACATGTTACTTCATGTTTCAGCCTTATTTCTACACCTTTGAAATAAGAATAATTATCTCATAAAATTTAAGAGGACTAAATAAATTGATATGCAATACCATTAGAACAGTGTTGATACAATAGTACATAGTCGGAAGTTAGAACATCTTGTTATTTCTAAGTGGATGTTATGGGATTCATAACATCTTAATGTAAAAAGTCATGCTAACTTCCAATATATTGCAGTATTAATGATATCTAATACTTTCATTTATTTTTTAACACAGGACCCCCTGGAGCATCTGTTCTTCCACCTGCAGGCTACCCAAGGGACGTGCCTATGGGATATTATAATCCACAGCAGCCCAGTGCCTTCCCGTACTGCCAGCCAACTGGTGGTACCCATCCTATCCAGTACCAGCCTGGCAACTATCCAGTGCCAAGTCAGTCTGCTCCAATAACATGGATGCCAGGGCCAACTCTTATGCCAGACTGCCCTCCTGGTCTGGAATACTTAACCCAGGTACTTTATACAAATCCAATTTATATTTTCTAATGAAGTATGAGTGGGGATTCAATAAGAGACAAAAGACTAAATTTGAGTGGGTAAAGTAACAAACTAGTAATGACAGATATCTAATTTGTGAGATTAAGAGTGATGGTACTAATTTTAGAAATGTGAAAGGAGGTCAGAGAGAATAGGTGTGGTTTTGGTGGGATGAGTATGGTTTTTCTAAAGGTTATATGTTGAATTTTAAGACATTTATGATGCCCTGTCAAAGGCAGTTTAAAATATAGGAATACAAATATAAGAAAAACTAACAAAGATCCTAATCGGGGTGCCATTTGCAAAGAAGTAGAGTTAACATGAAGAAAAGCAACATAAAAAAAGAACAAAACAGTATATAGTGAATGAGTTACTGAGTGCCTTAGCCCATTACCTTTTCTCACCATCCATGCCTCTTCCCCCAAAAAATACATGCGATATAAATAAAAATAGGGGACCTACCAAAGACATGGCTTCAGGCAAAATTCCAAAGAACCACTTCTCATAGTACAGTGACTCTATAATTTCCACCTATGTGGACATTCTGGAGCTACAGATGTCCAGATCAGAAATGGCAATTTGCCAGGTTGCTGTACTAAATGGTATGTTTCAAAACCCATGTCAAAAACTAAAAAGGATTGCTTAATGAAAATAAGATGAAGCTAGTTTTGCAAGTCCCTTAGAAACAACTGAGCCATGTTTTACTTTTAGAAAAAGGAAGTGTTGAAAGGAATCACAAGTAAGGAAATTGCCTATTCAATACTTGTCTTCCCACATAGTCATCCAAATACTCCTTTAAGTTGATATCTTTTCTTTTCAGTTTTATATAATGAGAAAGACTTTGATAATCCTTTACATTGAAACCATGGCTACAATGTATTGCAAGTCAGTACTGTTGGATCAGGAAAATTTGGATTTTAACCCTTTGAGTACCAACCAATATCCTAGGAACTATGCTAAAATTGCCAAGGCATTTTTGCTGATTTTACAGCAGTTTAGGAAAAAAATTATGAATCGCAAGTAAATGAAGTTACATATTCAAAAACTTAAGGAAACCTTTACTACATTGACATATTTAGCAATATCATCATCAGTAATAAAAGCAGACTTAGAACTGGACGCCATTTCAAACCTTTGATAGCGCTCCCGGCACTTTTGGCGAAAGACAGGAGGAGCGCGATCATGCTCCCAGCACTCGAGGGGTTAAATGAGCCAAAATTCTTATTAGGTTGTTGTTTTGACAAAATAATGACAAAATGCAAAGCCAGTCATTCAGGTAAAGTGCTAGAGTAAACTACCACTGTATTATTTTAGAACCTTATAAAATATGTATAAGTTACTCAATTTTGGAAAGTCTTTTATTATACCGGATAAATAACTCAAATTGTCCTTGGAAATCATAGATCTGGAGTCATTTCTCTTTTGAAAATGTATAACTTAAATATTAAAAAAAAACAGCCCTGACCGGTTTGGCTCAGGGGATAGAGCGTTGGCCTGCAGACTGAAGGCTCCCGGGTTCGATTCCGGTCAAGGGCATGTACCTTGGTTGCGGGCACATCCCCAATAGGAGGTGTGCAAGAGGCAGCTGATCGATGTTTCTCTCTCATCGATGTTTTTAACTCTCTATCCCTCTCCCTTCCTCTCTGTAAAAAATCAATAAAATATATTTTTTTAAAAATTAAAAAAACAGTCTAAGTGCCCATCAACAGATGAGTGGATTAGAAAACTGGTACATCTACACAATGGAATACTACGCTGCTGTAAAAAAGGAATTCTTACCATTTGCAACATTATGGATGGAACTGGAGAGCATTATGCTAAGCGAAATAAGCCAGAGAAAGATAAATATCACATGATGTCACTCATATATGGAATATAATGAACAACATAAACTGATGAACAAAAATAGAACCAGAGACATAGAAGCATCGAACAGACTGTCCAACCTATAAGGGAAGGCAGGGTGTGAGGGTGTAAGAGATCAACCAAAGGACTTGTATGCATGCATATTAGCATAACCAATGGACACAGACACTGGGAGGCGGGGGTGAGGGCATGTGCTGGGGGATGGGAGAGGTCAATGGTGGGGGGAAGGAGACTCATGTAATACTTTAAACAAAAAAGAATTTAAATTTTAAAAATACAAAAAACTTTCTCATTTTCTTCTATTACTCTGACTAATGTTACATTATCATATTTCATGAATTCTGTTTTTCCTTTCAGGAATATTTTGAGTTAAAAGAAAAAGAAACAAAGCAGGTTTGGAGCCAGACAAACCTGGATTTTAATTCTAGCTCTGCTCCCCCCTTACTCTACAACCTTGAATAGGTTTGTAATGTGCCTAATATTTTTGGCACACAGGGCCCACCCAATGGATGATAGCTGTGTGGATTTATTAGATAAAACACCTTGTATGTGAGCAGAAGACATAGAGCCCTTCATCTTCTTGTTTGTTTGTTTGGTTGGTTTTTGTTTATTTGTTTTGTATTTGTGTTTGTCCCATCATCTTCTTTATCATTTTCTTTATCCTACCCTTTCTGCCATCTCATATGCAGATCACATGTATCTTTATCAGAACTATCAAGATTATAGCATTCACAGTAACAGGATTATGTTATTTCTAGAGTATTGGCTTAGCCCATGACTCCACCAGTTTGTTAGAGAGCTGTTTCTTAACAGCCATACTATCTTATTGGTCAAATTTCTTTCACATTAATGGATGTCATGTCCTTAGAAAATTTTGTTCAGCAGTGGATGCTTTTAACATACAGTGAATATTTTTACTTAGTCCTAGATTTTAACTTTCTAGATTTTTAAAGGGGCCATGACCTGCCTTAGTGGCCACTTTTGATATTTTTAAAGCATGTTTAAACCCCTCACCTGATTTTGTTTTCATACAAGAAAAGTTTTGAATGAAGGAAGGATTATGTTCTCTCTATAGCAGTGGTTCCCAACATGGGGCACACACCCTGTAGGGGAGCAATTTGATTTTTAAGGGGGGCAATTCGAGAATGAGTTAATAACAGTGAATTTTTTTGCATTTATGGTTATAGGGGCCTCATATGCAGTATATAAATATATATTGTCACATATTTATGCATTTCAGTTCTCTATTATATGTTTTGAAACTTTATTTGGTATTTTTTCATATCACTTCATATTATTTTTTTTTAACAATTTCTTAGTGATTTCTTCCTCAGTACTTCAGCTGTCCTTTCGTTCTTTTATTTTTCTCTTTCATGGATGTGATATTCTTTGGAAGCTTGTTTAGACCAAGTTAATGGCCTTTTAGGCTTCCTCCACATGAATAGGAGTTCACTTTTTTGAATAATAAGAATTATATGTCACAAGGGGTGCATCAGGATTTTAGAGATGCTTAGGTGGGGCTTGGCTAAAAAAGGTTGCGAACCACTGCTCTATACCCTCCTATAAACAATCACTACAAAACATTCATGTCAAGTTATAATTTTAATTGTTATTTATTAATCACATTGGTGTATTTTTCATTAGTTAATGTATTCAACAAATATTTGGTGAAATGTAGCATTTCAGGCAGTGTTCTGGACTCAGGGATTTGGAGTGGTCTAATCTTTATTATCTAAAATTATATTGATATAATCAGTCCATCCTCAAGGAGTTTTTTCTCTTCTGCCAGCATGTTCTCAAGTATAACTGACAATGGGCCCATTAAACTGTCTCTCTTTAGAGTGCTTCCTAAGTGAAATTAGACATTTATTTAATTGTATTCTCAACCTCCCTGTTGAAGGGATCCCATCCCAGAAAGTTTCCTCTCCTTTGCTCTCATCCTGTCCATTCACGTGCTTCCTGTCCTCTCAGACCCTCCCAGAATTAAAGTGTACACCTAGGGAAGGTCTTAGTGTTTAATAGCTCAAGTAAGTGGAAATCAGTTTGTTAATCTCTCAGAAGTTCCTGGGAAATGTTATAAAATTGGACACTCCTGTATGGAACAGAATCCACCCTGGCTGATTCACTCTCCCTAAGCCACTGAGAACATTTCTTTCTCTATGGCTGGTCTTTGTCAAAAGGTCCTGAAGTTCCTGTGCACCGCCAGTCTGAGTGGCATGCTAGAGAGACCACTGAGTAGGAACTAAGCTAGGGACAACCTGTATCAGCCCAGCTGCTTCTAATTCTGTTACTGTGGTGGGAGGTGATTTTCTGATATTTTAGACAAGTGTACCAGTCTTTTACAGTGGAACTGGAGAAAAGTGTTTTTTCTATCTCCATAGCTCTAGTAACCACCTGGTTAGGTGCACATAAGCTGATTCCACTTGATCAAAATGTTTTTTATTCCATTCTATTTCAAAAATATATTTTGGTATCAATTGATCTATTTTAATACCTATCTCATCAGTTTCTTTTCTAATGCTGATTTGATTTAATAATGTTATTTCTAGCTCTCCTAATTGCTTTTTTTTTTATCCCAACAGTTGGACAACATACATGTTCTTCAGCATTTTGAACCTCTGGAAAGTATGTATAATTAGCTCAGTAGTGATTGGCAGTATTTGAACAGGGTGGAAATGCGCATTATCCAATGTCTATGTCCTTATTTATATTGACCACTTTTTAGTGATTCAAAGAGAAAATGATATCCTCTTTTCAGGAAAGTAATGAAAAGTATTGTATAATTTTATATATGTATGCATCATATGTAAGTTTTAGACTTTGCAAAGATTTACATTTTATCTGGACAACTGCCCTGCCTTTACCCATCCCAGCTCCTCCATGTTAACTCCTCATGGATGAGCAAAATAAGGAACCAGAATCTCAATTAGTCAGGCACATCATAGTTAGCTAATCAGTGGCAGAGCTGCAAATCTGCTAAGTTCTAGCCCAGTGTCTTATTCACTTATATGGTTGTATAATTGTTTTCTGAATTCAAGTACTCTCAGAATATTGTTTCAATCTTTGCTTATGTGGGAAAGGCTTAAAAATTATTTTACACTGGACTTCTTAAAATAAGTGTTTCAAATTTTTAAAATTACTTGCTTATAAGGCATACAAATTATTTTAACATTCTAATAAATTATACATATTTTACCTGAAATTTTATCAAAGCTATTCTACTTTAAGCCCCAACAAGGACTTATTTTTTATTAAAGTACTAGGGGCCCAGTGCACAAAATTCGTGCACGGGGACGGGGGGAGTCCCCTCAGCCCGACATGCACCCTCTATCATGTTCTGGGACCCCAGCTGCTCTGGGCCTAGGCATGGGCCTACAGGCTAGGGGTGGCCTGGCTCCCAAGGATGCCTGTCCCGGGGACACAAGCCTTTTAGTGCCAGCACGTGTGCAAGTGGCCGCAGAGCGAGCACCTCCGTTGGCGCCCACGCACGCACTCCAGTGGGGCGGGAGCTTCCCCGGCTTCCACGCACGTCGCCCCAACCCAGGCTCCTTGGTGCCTGTGTGCATGTGCCAGCTGGGCAGGAGCTTCCACTGCATCTGCATGCGCCACCCCGCCCCGGCTCCCCGGCACCCGCGCTTGGGCAGGAACTTCTCCAGCATCACCGTGGCGACATGGGGGAAGTATCTGCCCCGCCCCTGGCTGCCTGATGCCTGTGTATGCAAATTAACCCACCATCTTTGTTGGGTTAATTTGCATACCACTCATTGACCAGTGGGCGTGGCTTGTGGGCATCATGGAGGTCAATTTGCATGTTTCTCTTTTATTATATAGGATAGTTGACATGTAAATTATATTAGTTTCAGTTGTACAGCATAGTGATTCAGCATGTATATTCCTTATGATGTGATCACCAGAATAAATTTAGTTATCTTCTGTCACCATACAAAGTTATTACAATATTATTGACTGTTTCCTATACTGTATATTACATCTCCATAACTTTATTTGTTTTTAATAATTGGAGGTTTATATCTCTTCTTCCCCTTTTTGAGAACCGCTTAAATACTTCTAATGTAAGATGTTTTCCTCATTTTATTTTTCAGTGATAACACGTTTTGAAACTAATAATAAATATGATATTAAAAACAACCTGGACCAGATGGTGTACATTGTAACCGAAGACACAGACGACTTTACCAGGAATGCTTACCGGACACTAAGGCCCTTTGTCCTCCGGGTCACTGACTTTATGGGCCGAGAAATCATGACAATGCAGAGACCCTTCAGATGCACCTGCTGTTGCTTCTGTTGTCCCGCCACAAGGCAAGAGGTTAGAGGATGGAAGTCTAATCCATTATTTCTTTCTGATCCAGCTATTCACACATGGCTGTGCTCTTTCCAAAACTATACTGGGGGGTTTTCACTGGCCCTGCCAGTCAGAATGCAGCAGGTCAGTGAGAAGGGAGGAAGCCAAATTTTCTCACCTAAGGCAAATCACAAAGGGCTTTTTCTTGGGTTTATGCTCTTTAGTGCTAATGGGTGGGTAAAGCAAAATTATTTATTTAGTGACCAGAATTCTATGAGCTGTGTCTACTGAATTAGAAGTTTACCTATCACCTAAAACAGGAGTCACACATTTACCTAAATGTCCCCAGATAAGGTATGCTAAATGTAAACATATCTATATATATAAAAGCTTAAGCGAGCATTACGATTGAATGATTGGAACAACTGGTCAACCAGTCACTATGACTCGTGCTGACCACCAGGGGGCAGATGCTCAACACAGGAGCTTCCCTCTGGTGGTCAGTGCACTCCCATAGCCAACTGCCCACGGCCCCTGCCCCAGGCTAGCCAACCTCCCGCAGCCCCTCTTCCCACCCTCCAGCTGGCCAGCCAACTTCCCATAGTCCCTCCAGCTGGCCAACCTCCTGCGATCCCTCCCCCCTGCCAGCTAGCCCCCCTGATAGGCCTCGATCGCCAGCTAGGCCGAAGGACCCCACCTATGCATGAATTTGTGCACCGGGCCTCTAATACTTTTAGAATTCGAAGGGCCTTTAAATACTTTTACTCTACCCATCACAACCTGTACCTGTTGGTGTGCCTGCTAATGGTGTACATGGTGAGTGGTGGTGCTGGAACTAAAAAGCAGATATTCTGAGTTAGTTTGGTTACTGTTATACACCTGTTTAGTTCTAGGAAAGTTGTTTGCTACAGGGAAATAAAAGCAGTTTTAGAGAGAGGTCTAAGAGAACTTGAATTTCAGATATACCACCTACTTAAATTTGGACAATTTATTTAACGTCTTTGAGCCTCAGTGTTGTACACTGGACAGAGCAATAGCCCCTTAATTACTGTGGTATTTAAATGATAAGTACAGCATTTACTATAGTAATTTATATACTACTAGAGGCCCGGTGCACAAAAATTTGTGCACTCGGGGTCTGGGTCCCTCAGCCCAGCCTGTGCCCTCTTGCAGTCTGGGACCCCTTGGGGGATGACCACCTGCTGGTTTAGGCCTGCACCCCGGGGGATTGGGCCTAAGCTGGCAATCAGACATCCCTCTGGCAGCCCGGCAGCCCTTGGGGGATGTCCACTTGCCAGCGGGGAGCACACCTAAGCTGCAGTCGGACATCCTTAGCACTGCTGAGGCAGGAGAGGCTCCCATCACCACTACTGTCCTGGCAGCCATCAGCCTGGCTTGTCGCTGAGCAGAGCTCCCGCCTGTGAGAGCGCACTGATCATCAGAGGGCAGCTCCTGCATTGAGCGTCTGCCCCCTGGTGGTCAGTGTGTGTCATAGTGACCAGTCATTCCCAGTCTTTCTGCTGTTAGGGTCAATTTGCATATTACCTTTTAACTATATAGGATAGAGGCCTGGTGCACGGGTGGGGGCCTGCTGGTTTGCTGTGAAGGGTGTCCCGGATCAGGGTGGAGGTCCCGCTTGGGCGAGGGTCTGATGGCTGTTTTCAGGCTGGACACACCCCCTTCAGGGTGGGGGTCCCCACTGGGGTGCCTGGCCAGTCTGGGTGAGGGGCTGAGGGCCATTTTCAGGCTGGCCTGTGACTGAAGCTCCTAGCCTCACCTTTTTTTTTTTTTTATTCTGGGATTTATTTACCTTCTATAATTGAAACTCTGTTGCCTTCACTGGTGCTCCCAGCTCTGAGGCTGTGGCTGGCTGAAAGCAGGTATCTGGAGTTTGTTTAGCTTCTATAATTGAAACTCTGTTGCTTTTGGAGGTGTTGCTTTTGGAGCTCAGAGCCGGGCCATGGCAGGCGGAGAACTTTGCTTCCTCCATCACTGGAGCAAGCAAACCTCCTGCTTGCTTCAGCTGTGTGGCTGCCGGCCGCCATCTTGGCTGGCAGTTAATTTGCATATCTTGCTGATTAGCCAATGGGAAGCATAGCGGAGGTACGGTTAATTACCCTTTTTGTCTTTTATTAGATAGGACTAGTGGCCCAGTGTACAAAATTTGTGCACGGGGCTGGGGGAAAGGGCGGTGTCCCTCAGCCCGCCTGCCCCCTCTCCAATCTGGGACCCCTCAGGGGATGTCTGACCCCTTGGGGGATGTCCGCTCACATTGACCTTCTCGTCCCCAACTGACCGCCCCCCCTTGCCGGCCTGATCGCCCCCAACTGCCACCCGCTGCCGTCCTGCTTGCCACCAACTGCCCCACTCTGCTGGCCTGATCGCCCCCAACAGCCCCCCCTTGCTGGCCTAATTGCCCACAACTGCCCCCACTGCCAGCCTGCTTGCCCACAACTGCCCCCCCTGCCAGCCTGATCACCCCCAACTGCCCTCCCTGGCTGGCCTGCTCACCCCCAACTGTGCCCCCCTGCTGGCCTGCTTGCCCCCAACTGCCCCCCCCACTGGCTTAATAGCCGCCAACTGCCCTCCTCTGCCGGCCTGCTCTCCCCCTATTGCCCCCCTTGCTGGCCTCATGGTCCCCATCCCCCCCTCCCTGCCGGCCTCATGGCCCCCAACTGCCCTCCTGGCTGGCCTGCTTGCCCCCAACTGCCCTCCTGGCCAACCTCATGGCTCCCAACTGCCCTTCCCTGCCAGCCTCATGGCCCCCAACTGCCCCCCCACCGGCCTAGTCACCCCCAACTGTGCCCCCCTGCCAGCCTGATTGTCCCCAACGTCCCTCCACTGCCAGCCTACTCGCCCCCAACTGCCCTCCCCTCCTGGCCTGATCGCCCCTAACTGCCTCTGCCTCAGCCCTGCCACCATGGCTGGAAGAATGTCTGGAAGATCTCCCGGTCTAATTAGCACATTAACCCTTTTATTAGTATAGATAGTCCTTTCTATGCATATACTTTTAAAATTGAGATATTAATAGCACCTAGTTCATGGGATGATTATTTTGCAGATTAAATAGCAATAAATGTCAATTTCTTACAACAGTGCCTGACAAATATTACAGTGCTCAATGGATATTAACTACTGTTGTCAGATATCTTACTTTTTTATCATTTCTGTCATGTGTGTTTGTGTGTGTCTGTATATTTGAGTTGAATTTCCATCTCTTATCCTTAATGCTTTTATTTAGCAAGCATTGTTTGTTTGTTTTTGTTTGTTTTTTTATATTTATGAGATGGGCTTTGTAAATCAAAGCCTATAGGTCAGTGGTTCTCAACCTGTAGGTCGCAACCCCTTTGGCAGTCGAACGACCCTTTTACAGGGTGCCTAAGACCATCCTACATATCAGATATTTACATTACGATTCATAACAGTAGCAACATTACAGTTATGAAGTAGCAACGAAAATAATTTTATGGTTGGATCACAACATGAGGAACTGTATTTAAAAGGCCAGAAGGTTGAGAACCACTGCTATAGGTGCAGCCTTCCATGATTATAGTTATCCAGGATAGAGTAAAACAAATCAGTATTACAGCCTTAGTCCAGTATATGGAATTTTTGTCCCACAGCATTATCTAGATTTTTTTCTGATTTCTCCAGTTTGACATGTGCTTATGGGTACGTGTGTGTGGTTTATCAGCTATATAGATTCCTGTATCCACCACCACAATTCAAATACCAAATAGTTTTATTACCATAAAAAACTCCTTTATAACCACACCTACCTCTTCTCTTCTCTTCAGCCCTAACCCCTAACAACCACTAATCTGTTCTCCATCTCTATAACTGTCACTTCAAGAATATCATAGAAATATCGCTTCTCGGCCTTTTGGCTAAGATCAAGTGAAGAATATCATAGAAATAGAATCATATAGTATGGAACCTTTAAGGACTGGCTTTTATCAACATAAGTTACCTTGAGGTTCATACAAGTTGTGACATGTATCAATAGTTCATTGCTTTTTATGGTTGAATGATATAGATTATTATAAAACTAATTTATTTGCATCCAATTTTTTCTTTTTTTTTTTTTATCTCAAGACAACTTAGAGCACAGTTCCAGGAAGCTATCAAATTTATATGTTTGTATATGTGTGTGATTTTATATATATGAACAATAATATCTTAATTTGACAATTCATGAAGATGTGTAGTCTTGCCCTGATGAGATGCAGGAGACCCAAAAGTCTTAAGAAAGTATATAAAACACCAGGAAAATCATCAGTAGAACTTTTCCTTTGGTCTTTTAACAAATAATTTAATTTTGTGACTCTTGTTATTATTAAACTAGAGGCCCAGTGCACGAAATTTGTGCATGGAGGGGGGGGGTTCTCTCAGCCCAGCCTGCACCCTCTCCAATTGGGGACCCCTTGAGGGATGTCCGACTGACAGTTTAGGCCAGAACCCTGTGGAATCGGGCCTAAACCAGAAGTCAGACATCCCTCTCACAATCTGGGATGCCTGGCTCCTATCTGCTCACCTGCCTGCCAGCCTGATCACCCCTAACTGCCCTCCCCTGCCGGCATGATCTCGCCCCCAACTGCCCTCCTCTGCTGGCCAATTTGGTTCTGGTTGGTTGGTTTCTATGCCAGTCAGCATCAAAAGCTCTGCCTCCTAGACAGCCATTGGCCCTTCACAGCACCCAGATTTGGTTCTGATTGGTCATTTCCTATGCCACTCAGCATCTCTGGGCCTATCTCCGGGCCTGATCAGAGAGGCAGGGCAGAACAGCAGCCTCCGCAGAGGATGCAAGAGAAAGAAAGGCCTGGCTGCTGGTGAAGCCCGGAAAGAAAGAGGGAGAGAAAGAGAGAGGCAATTAATGATCAATAGCTGCCACTGAGGCTGCGGATCAGACCCTGCCTCTCTCTCTGGGTCTCAGCCCTCTGGGCAGTCAGTGCTGGGTAACCAGGCTGTAGTGGGGCAGTCAGTGCTGTGTTGCAGCAACCCAGCACTGACTGAAGGACTTCTGGGTTGGTCAGCCTTTGGTCGTGATCGTTCATTACGATCCTGGGCTTTTATATATTAGGATAGTAGAGGCCCGGTGCACAAAATTCGTGCATGGGTGTGTGTGCGCCTCAGCCCGACCTGCATCCTCTCCAATCTGGGACATCCCTCTCACAATCCAGGACTGCTGGCTCATAACTGCTCACCTGCCTGCCTTCCTGATTACCCCTAACGGCTTCTGCCTGCCAGTCTGATCGCCCCCCAGCTGCCCTCCCCTGCCGGCCCAATTGCTCCAAAACTGCCCATCTATGCTGGCCTGATGGCCCCAACTGCCCTCCCCTACTGGCCTGGTCGCCCCCAATTGCCTTCCCCTCGAGCCTGGTTGCCCCCAACTGCCCTCCCCTGCTGGCCTGATTGCCCACAACTGCCCTCCCCTGTCGGCCGTCTTGTGATGATGTGAGGGCACCGCGGACCACCTAGGCTTTTATTAGTATAGATGAAGTTCTTAGTTCTTCCCAAAGGAATACTATAAATATAATTAGCTGAAAGAGAGCATTGGACAACATTAAAACTCCTTTTAAAATGGTTTTATATACCCATAACACATTCTGTTGCTTTCCCAACATACAGGCTTCAGAATGCTTCTTTTCTGGTTTGTTTTCTTCAATAATTGTCATGTCTGACATGTAAATCTAAGAAGTTGGTTTGATACTGTTTCTGTGTATTCTGCCATAAGATGTAAGACACCTAGATAAGACACATGATCTTTGTTAAAGCACATAAAGCAGCATGAGCATTAGCATGTTTACGCAAGTCCCCTTGTCTCCAAGTTCTATGAGGTTGACTTGGGGGAGCCCAGAGAGATGCTACATATACAGCTGAGGACACCGAGCTTGGAGAACTGGCCATTATACAGTTAGTAACTTTGTCTCAGAGGGAATCATGACCTCATTTCTCAAGGCTGTTCACTAAAATACAAGCCTAAGAAATAGCCAGGTAAAGTGGAAGACAGTTCAGAGTAACAATTCCCCAGTCCACAAATGGATTAAGGATACATCTAGGTTTTGTGTATGTGTATTTATATGTATATAACATCCTCCCCTCTGTCGTGCTTCACTTGCAGCTAGAGGTGCAGTGTCCTCCTGGCATCACCATTGGCTTTGTTATGGATCACTGGAACCTGTGCCGGGCGGTGTACAGCATCCAAAATGAGAAGAAAGAAAATGTGCTGAGCATTCGTGGGCCATGCTCAACCTATGGCTGTGGCTCAGATTCTGTGTTTGAGGTAAACAAATATAAAAATAATGTTTCTTCTATTTTTTCTGCGTGTACTAACACACTTCAGAATGATTTGGTTTAGATCATTTTTCATGTGAATCAATAAATTAGTATGAGGAGTTAACTGGTTGACATTATGTGATTTTCAAATTATTGTTACTGGATTGATTAATGTTTTCTAAAATGTAAGATCTTTTAAAATGATTTTAGTGTTTTGTAAAGATAAGAGAAACCATTAAAACATTAATCCTGAGAGTAAGTAGCCTGACATACATTTATTTAATTCTTGGTTGTATTTAATTAACTGTTTTTTACGAAAGATTTCCAGGATCAGAAAATAAGTCCTGAGGAATGAAAGTGCCCACCTTCTCACAGAACCTGTGGCCCCCGAGGTTATGCATGTTGCTTATTTGCAGAATAGAAGTTTGTGTCCTCAGGAAACAGGACAATGCTGATAACATAGATAAAACTCATAGCTGTAACATTTTTTCAGGAAAAAGAAAAATCCTTTTGTTTTGCCTTTATGGATACAAAATGATTGCATATAATCCTGTGAATCTGACAAAGGAGATGCCTAGAAATATTTCATGAGCTTCTAGGAATCCTTTCTGAATGCCTTGTAATTCAGCAAGGCTCATCATCTAAAATTGCTCCTTCTAGTATTGCCCATGACACCCAATAACTTCCCTTAGTTCTCAGTTTACTTTACCATGTCATCAAGCATTGCTTATTTTTTAAAAGACCATGTGGAGAAATAGAAAATATAGATAAGCTAGATTTCAGGGTCAGGCTGTGTGGGATCATTCTGATCACTGAAAGTCAGTGTCTGACTGTTTTCCCTCTGGCAAGTGCCAGTGTTCCCCTTATGGAAGCTGAAGTCCTTTGGGATCCTGGCATAATTTAAGAAGATTGATTTGTTTGGCACACATAAGTTTAAGTGTTTATATGGAGTTTGTGAAGTGCACAGAACCATGCCTCATGTGTTTCCGTAGACTAGATTCTAATCCTTAATTCCCACCCTTTGCTATATGGAGAACTTCAAAAAAATCAGTTCAAGTCATACCTCCCTAATAACTCATTTGAAGATGAAGAAAGAGCATTGGCCTGAAAAGTATAAGATATACAATATTAGTTACCATAAAGTCTAATTCTTATCTTCCTAGGTAAAAGCCATCGATGGTGTCTCTAACATCGGCAGTATTATTAGAAAGTGGAATGGTTTAATGTCAGCCATGGGCAATGCTGACCACTTTGACATTCACTTCCCATTAGACCTGGATGTGAAGATGAAAGCTATGATTTTTGGAGCTTGCTTCCTCATTGTAAGTCTTTTGCTTTTGAGTTATCTTGAGAGAATTATTCTTTCTGATAAGAAGCAGTGTAGTAGAAAGGCAATAGCTTTGAAACTAGACCAAGTTCTGTCTCTACCACTTATTAGTTACACTAGAGGCCTGTTGCAGGAAGATTCCTGCAAGAATAGGGCTTCCTCGGGCCTATTCCTGCAAGAATAGGGCTTCCTGAGACCGTAGTGAAGCAGAGAAGGGAGCAAGGCCCACCCAGGCGGGCTTCGCTCCCTTCTCCGCTGCCTCGCTCCTTCCCTTCGCCGCTTGGCCCTCGGCTCCCTTCCTTCTCCGCTGCCTCGCTCCTTCCCTTCGCCGCTTGGCCCTCGGCTCCCTTCCTTCTCCGCTGCCTCGCTCCCTTCCTTCTCCGCTGCCTTGCTCCCTTCCTTCCCCTCTGCCTCGCTTCGTCCCTTCTCCGCTGCCTCGCTCCCTTCCTTCTCCGCTGCCTTGCTCCCTTCCTTCCCCTCTGCCTCGCTTCATCCCTTCTCCGCTGCCTCGCTCCCTTCCTTCTCCGCTGCCTCGCTCCCTTCCTTCCCCTCTGCCTCGTTTCGTCCCTTCTCCGCTGCCTCGCTTCCTCCCTTCTCTGCTGCCTCGCTTCCTCCCTTCTCTGCTGCCTCGCTCCCTTCCTTTTCCACTGCCTCGCTTCCTCCCATGTCCTCCACCTCGGCTCCCTCCCTTCTCCACCACTTTGCTCCCTCCCGTGTCCGCTACCTCAGCTCTGCACCTATCTCTGCTACCTCCGATCTGTTCCCTTCTCTGCTTCTTGGCTCCCTTCTGCAGTGCTTGGCTTCCTTCTACACTGTCTTCAGTCTTCGCTGGGCACCTATGTATGCAAATTAACCACCATCTTTGTTGGGTTAATTTGCATACTCTTCTGATTGGCTGGTGGGTGTAGTGAAGGTACAGTCAATTAGCATCTTTGTCTTTTATTAGTGTAGATATTTTGTAAAGTGTTTATACTTGCAAGCCTCAATCTCCTTGTCTATAAAATGAATATAAAAATACTTCTATTTTCAAGGTTATAAATGTTAACTACCATATGAATAAAGGGGCAAGAGAGTGCTTGGAAGGTATTAGGCATGTTATTAATTATTTTTATTACTTAAAAAAAACACCTAACTGCCCTAGCCAGTTTCGCTCAGTGAATAGAGCATCAGCCTGGGGACTAAAGGGTCCCACATTCGATTCTGGTCAAGGGCACATGCCCAGGTTGCAGGCTAGATCCCTAGTATGGGGCATGCAGGAGGCAGCTGATCAATGATTCTCTCGCATCATTGATATTTCTATCTCTCTCTCCCTCTCCCTTTCTCACTGAAATCAATAATATATATATATATATATATATATATATATATATATATATATATATATATATACACTAGAGGCCCAATGCACAAAATTTGTGCAAGAGTAGGCCTTCCTTCCCTTGGCTGCCGGCACCGGCTTCCCTCTGGCAGCCGGAACCCAGGCTCCTCTTGGAACCCCAACTTCCTCCAGAAGGTCGTACAGAACGACACTTTTATTATTATAGATAGATGAGTAGCCTAGTGCACGAAATTCGTGCACGGGGGTGGGTTGTCCCTCAGCCCGGCCTGCACCCTCTCCAATCTGGGACCCCTCGAGGGATGTCCGACTCACAATCCAGGACCACTGGCTTCTAACTGCTTACCTGCCTGACTGCCTGATTACCCCTAACCATTCTGCCTGCTGGCCTGCTCGCCCCCAACTGCCCCCCCCCACTGTCCTGATCACCCCCAACTGCCCTCCCCTCCTGGCCTGATCACCCCTAACCGCCTCTGCCTCAGCCCCACCACCATGGCTTTGTCCGGAAGGTCTCCTGGTCTAATTAGCATATTATCCTTTTATTAGTATATATATTTTTTAAAGCCTATCCTGTGACTTCTTAACGAAATAAAATAACTCTAAAGCTGATGTCCTTTTTCTCCACCTCACTGTCTCTCTGTCAGTGTACTACTTGGTGTTACACTGTCCTTAGATTTATTAGGTGCAGTCCCCTTGCTGTATTTCTGACTAATTAGTGGTTAATAGTCATAAGTAAAGCATAGAAATAAAATTGATAATATTTACCCAAAATATCTCACTAACATATTGCATTTGGTATATTTAGCATATTTAATATTGATTATCAAGTTTTTTTCCTTTAACAATAAAAATTTAATTAGTATTCCAAATGGAGAACATATTGGCTAACAACAGTTTTAAGTATGTAATTGCTGCTCTTTATATTAAGTCCTCTTTATAAAGATTTATCAGATTTCTTAACTGGTCTGGGAGGATTGCCAGATAAATTATAAAGGATAATATTTTATGCATTACATCAAATTATTTATGTATTTATATACATAATGCTCTCTCTCCCTCTCTCTCTCTCTCTCTCTTTTTCCAATTTCAGGACTTCATGTATTTTGAAAGATCACCACAACATTCATCAAGATAGATGGACAAAGAAAATCAGCAGTTAATGGTTTTTTAAAAGTTAGAAAAGTTGGATTGGGCTTACAGTCAACCCTCAATTATTTGCAAATATATTTACCTGCTTTTGCAGACTACTTTTATTTCATGTTAGCTCTGACAGGCAGCCTGAGAGTGTAAGAACACAGTCTAATGTGCATTTCAGTTGAGAATCTGTCTCGTTGTCTACTTGTTAAACTAGGAGTTCATCCTGAAAAAGCTTTGACTCATTAATGCCGGGGTCCAACCCCAGCAGGTCCAGGGGTCCCCAAAGGTGTGGATGGAGTCGGCGAAGAAGGAATGACACAGAGACAGCGTTCAGTTGATCAGAAGCCTAGCCAGGATCTCTAGCCAGGATCTCCAGCCAAGTTCTGGTTTGGATCTCCAGAGAGGTTCTGCTGTTTATTGTCTTGTTACAACCATATTTATCCCAGTTGATTTTAATCCTGTCAATTTCTATTACAAAGGTTAGGGCGTTTCTTATCTCCATTCCAGGGAGTAAAGATTATGTAGCTTAAGCATGATTGTTTGTAGTGATTAACTACCCGCCTGGCACTTAGTTAAGGAGTTTCATCCCCTCCCTGACTTCAGGGAAAAATTCCTACCTGGGGAAACAACCTTTCTAGGAGAGGCATCCCCTCCCTGACTTCAGGGAAAAATTCCTACCTGGGGAAACAACCTTTCTTGGAGAGGTGACCTTGGTTAAAACACACAGCGCTAAGGGGAGCAAACATATTAAGAACAGTATGCTATATACGCCAGGTCCCTTGAAACATATGCTGTGCAGATGTTTCTTTCCTGCAGCGACTGTGTCAAGCAGCAAGGATGGACCGGCTTCCGGCAAATTCCCCCTTTTTTATTTTTTAAATGATAGCACATGCAAATCAGTGGCCACCTCTCAGATTGGGCCATTTAAGTCTCGGAAGAAGAGTGGCAAGCAATGATAGTGAGCATAACTATAAACATAGTGGATGGAGTGCACAAGGAGCCCCATTCTTGTAGAAGGTTGTAGCCTCTTCAGTCAAGGGATTTCAGCTGTCCTCAAGTTGTTGGTTTGATTGTCTTTGTTGGTCTGGCTAGCGGGCGGCGTCACTGGCGACAGGCTTCCGAAGCGTCAGCGAGTTGAAGGACTGCATCAAAGGGTCCATCAGGGCCGTGGTTGATGGTGGTGTCTGTGTCCGAGGAGGAGTAAGCTGTGCCCTCTGGGTCAGCTGATATGGAAGATGGAGGGTAGTAGAGAGCAAAAGAACTACAAGGCAGGGGAGTGTTTAGAAAAAAGAGGGAGAAGAAAGGGAAGAAGGCAGCATCCTGACACAGCCCTTTCCTTCAGCTTCCCCTTTCCCTGTGGTCCCAGGTAGAAATGGGAAGCAAGTCCTGTTGCAGTGAGAGGGCAGCTGCTGTCAGCCAGTCTCTGTCTTTACCTGGGTCCCGATCTGAGCTGGGCATGGGAAGCAGGAAGCAGCCATGGGGACAGGAGACCTTCCTCAGAAGGGGCGAGTGTTCAAGCCCCTGCACCATTGGGGAGGGGGGTCTGTGCCCCATCTTTGTTGCACCCCAAGTTTTCTCCTACTGGCCCCCGACTGTGCCTGTCTTAGGTTGCCCCACCCTGTGGAGTCTTACCCGTCGTTGACTACCAGCCATCTCTGGGCCAAGTAGGGTGATGTGAGGTTCAGTTTTGTCTCCTTGATAGCCTATGTCCCTCTGGCCTCCATGCCCAGCAACTGCCTTTGGATTCCCTCGCCTGCTGGCGGGGCTCTGGCATTGATCATAGGGAACTCAGGTTTCTTCTCTAGAGAGGGCCCAGCTTACGCCATTGGGCCAGAGACAGATCCATGGTACCAGCCACCATGCGGCTTCAACCTCAGCATGAACAGAGAGCTCAGGCAACAGCTATGGGCAACTGGATTGTAAGAAGAGGGTCCCTCTTGACACAAGGGTAAGAGGGGCCAATACAGGACAAAGGAGAGTCCTGGAACAGGGCTTTCTCAGCCCAGGATGTCAGGCTCTTGGCACAAGACAACTCCATGTATGGGGCATATACCAAACACCCCTAGTCACGGCATAAAAGGGAGGTGCCCTTCCTGGAACAGTAGGGTAGGGAGATTCTAGAAAACGCTGTGTTCAGGAAAGAAGGAGAAAGGCCAAAGAACCAGCAAACAAGTAGTTAGATTTTAAAAAAAGGAAAAAGGAAAGGAGATGTGGGGCAAAGCTGGGACATGTGGAAAGACAAAACGGAGGCACATGTGATCCTCCCAATAGACAGATTGTTCCAGCTCAGGGCTGCACATCTGCTGCAGACGGGCACTGGTCAGGTGTGCCTGCAGCGACTGTGTCAAGCAGCAAGGATGGACCGGCTTCCGGCACATTAACCCAGTAAATGTAGATATGATGAGCTGGAAAACACTTGAATATAAGATAGGGGAAAATGAATCCCAGAGTTCTCACATTAATAGCTAATGTTCATCCACATATCCTCTCACCAACGACAAATTTGACTCGAGGTGAAAAGAACAATATTCTTCATCTTTAAAAACAAAAGGCAGGCAGGCAGAAGTATTCTATTTTATTGTACAAGGAACATTTTACCTGTGCACATGTATCAACGCCTCATTTTGCAAAATTTATAAAAGTTTCAATGGAAAACTTGGTTTCATTATCAAATAAAACTTTTTTATCATAATGTTTATGTTTTCCATGCCTGTCCCCTTGTTCATGGACAGTCAAAGAACTGCCTTATACCAGGTGTACCAGTTAATAATGCAGATTTTTTTCACTAGATGGAGTTACACATATGTTGATATATATATATATATATATAATTTGATATGTATGCTATTTTGTTGTATTGACAGCAAGCTTCAAAACTTCATGTCAAATTTGCTGAAGGTATTAACATCATAAATATTTTTATGCTTAAAATGTGGAATTTCATGCCAAAAAAAAAAAAAAGAGCATTTGTGGGAAGTTTTAATTCATTACTTTATTTCGAAGAAAAGTGCCACTGAAAGTTATTGTATACTTTGGGAAGCTTATAGTGAACATGCTCCATCTCAAGATACTTGTGAACGCTGGTTTAAATGCTTTAAAAGTGATGATTTCGATGTGAAAGACAAAGAACGTCCAGGTCAACTGAAAAAGTTTGAAGACCAATAATTACAAGCATTATTGGATGAAGATGCATGTCAAACTCAAAAACAATTTGCAGAAAGATTAAACGTTGCTCAGCAAACAATTTCTGATCATTTACAAGCAATGGGAAAGATTTTAAAGGAAGGAAAATAGGTGCCACATCAACTGAACGAAAGACAAATGGAAAATTGAAAAGTCATCAGTAAAATGTTGCTTCAAGGGCATGAAAGAAAGTCTTTTTTGCGTCGAATTGTGACTGGTGATGAAAAGTGGATTTATTTTGAGAATCCCAAATGCATAAATTCATGGGTTGACCCTGGTCAACCATCAACATCGACTGCAAGGCCAAATTACTTCAGAAAGAAGACAATGCTCTGTGTTTGGTGGGATAAGGAAGGTGTGTATTGTGAGCTTCTAAAACCAGGTGAAACCATTAATACTGATCGCTACTGACAACAAATAATCAATTTGAACCACGCTTTGATCGTGAAATGACCAGAATGTGCCAGAAGACACAGCAAAGTAATTTTGCATCATGATAACGCACCATCATACACTTCAAAATCAGTTAAAGACACGTTAAAAGATCTTGCCTGTGAAGTATTAACCCACCTGCTGTATTCACCAGACCTTGCTCCTTCAGATTACACTTGTTCGTATCAATGGCACAAGCACTTTCTGAGCAGCATTTCAAAATGTATGAAGAAGTGGAAAATTGTGTCTCTGAATGGTTTGCCTCAAAACAAGAAAAATTCTATTGGGACAGTATCCACAAATTACCTGAAAGATGGGGGAAATGTGTAGCTAGCTATGGGCATTACTTTGAATAAAGCACTTCTGATGTTTCTCTGAAATTATCATGTTTTCTTTGATTACAAAATTCGCTATTATTAACCAGTACACCTGGTATATGAAGACAAGGTCAGACTATCAGGAAAAAAGGTGACCAGGACCACAGCCACTCTAGATCTCTTAGCAATTTAGAGATATTGGTGCCCTTATAAAAAGCTTGCATTTAATACATTTAACCTCTTTTGGTCACAGATGCCTTTTATATAAAATATTCTCAGCCAACTCTCTAAGATTGCCTGTTGAACCTTTGTATCTCCTTTGATGTAAAAAAGAGGAGATAACTTTTTTCTTTCAAGAAGATCCCTGATAAAAAAAAAATGTGCTGTTTGTATGGCAAGAGTTGGAGTTTTGTTTTCAAATTTTAAAATGTGACAATGTGAGTAGCACTTTGTAAAAGCAAGAACTATAAATTTTGACACTGCTTATTATTGCTTTGCTGCTTTTTTAAGTAATAGATAAATTTGTATCTATGCAAAGATAATAAAACAAACTTTCTACAGATTATATAGGATGAGTACAGATTATATAAGATCAATTTAGTTAAAGTATAAATTGTACTTGTTTGTATTAACTAATTAACAGCATACTATATCAATGACTATACTGTGACAAATCCGCTTGCTTTTATTGCACTTTAGTAGCCTATCTGGACATGGACTGTGTGTCTTTTTAACACAACCAGTACATTGAATGGAACGTGTTCTTCTGCTTCTTATTAAAAATAATAATAATAAGCTGAGTGCTCTTAGGTTTGGTTATTCTGAGATGAGGGCATTTACCCACACTTCTTATTGAAGTGAAAGAAAGCTGCCTCAGTTTTTAATTATATTCATCTTTTCATGGCAAAAATTGTCTACTCAGTTTCTTGTAATGTTCATTTTTATGCATGACTGCTAGCTTTAAAAAAATGGAAAAACTGCTGCTTTCTAAAATACTAATTACCTTGTATTTGAAAATGTAGTTGTACTCTTACACATATATATTATTCCTTATAATAATGTCTAACATTTTCTATAGAAAATAAAATTATATTCAGAAAATTTATATAAACTTTCATTTTTATTTGCTTATACCCCATTTCAGGACCTGCTGTATAATACTAAAAAAAAATT